TCTATGATAGCCAATAACATTCTTATTTAATATGTAACAGAGAACTTTTATTATATATATATATATATATATATATATTCAATGCAGAAGTCGAAAGTATTTCTTAATTACAAAGAACTACTTTAAAACTCAGTACACTATGGACCTAAAATATACATATATATATATGTATAACATGTATATTCAAAGTGTAGATCTTTTTTGGCTTTGATTGAATTACTTATCTATAAAATCTAAATTTTTTAAAACATACACTTAGGTGTTTTTGCAAGTTTTTAAGAGGCCCTTAAAGATATATTACACAACACCTATAAAGTTGAGTTTACAAAGGATAGAAACAGGTCCAGTTAGCATTTAGATATCAGGTTCTAGTACCTTGAAAACTTTGGCTAATTGTAATGAGAAACAAACTGATCAAGGGGTTTACATAGTAGAGGTCTCTTCATTAAGTATACTGACTACAATTTTCTTGCCAGATGATACAGCAGTATACATTACAGAATGTGGTACCAGTATTATTGTTGGTACCAAGGAGGATTCTTTTCTTTTCTAATAGCTGTAGAAGATAATTAATTTATAAACTATAAATCAGAAAAGATTCTTTAAAAAGTATAAAGACCTCTCATTCAAAGATTTAAAAATAAAAACAGAAATGTAGCCCTTTTGAGAGACCAGATGCTACAATGAATTACTGAGCAAAATCTAAGGCTTAAATGAAATATTTTCGTGAATATGTTTAAAGCAACAGGTGGGCTGGTTGGACCTGTGAGATACTTTTCAGAGTGAGGGTGAATTATGTGCTTGAAATGGGCTCCACTTAAGCAGGTTGGATATATGGTTAAACTCTTTAAAGAAAGCTTAGAAAGTTCAGAATAAACAAATCAATAGAGTAGCTGTAAAGCAAAGAAAAGTTTGGAAATAAGATTTAGAATAAATTAACCCTCTCACTACGGGTCTTCCTATGGTCAGGAGTCAAAGGGTATGTCATCACGTTTGTAGACATACATTCAATATTCTAGTGATCTATTTTACGAATATATGCCAATAATTTTGGTGGTATCACATTATAGATTATAATTCAAATTTTAGTATTATACATTAGTTATGGCTGGAGACGGCTTAAATGGGTAATGAAGAAAAACTTTAAT